TATCATTAACGTTGAGTAATGTGAAACTATTCACTCGGGCCATCTTTTTCGATGAATTCATCGGGTATAAAATTACACTAATATTACGGGTACTGCAGTAATTACTATTCAATGAATGAATGCTGAAGAGGCTGGACGTTTTGTACGAGCAAAGATGGCGGCTTAAAACCAGGGAACTGTTCTACAAAGGTGACCCAAAAGGGGACCATCAAGGACTCCCAAGCCAATGAAGCAGTCATGGTATCCATTCTGGGGTCCCTTTTTCATCTGTGAATATATGACGATCTTTGAGTGCTAGGCTCAGCACTCATTCATTAATGAGTACAAAAAGGACTTTGCAAATGTTCGATTTCCGTCCAAGGGCAATCCCAAATTAGAAACTCTGAAATTGTTTTTCTGAAGTTTTTAATGAGTCCTCATTAAAAAGCTCTATTAAATACTTCTTTATCAACTTAACTTTTTCGCTATGTAAGTTATAATGGATCTCTAGACACGGATACTAAAAAGAGTAACTTATTAAAGTATTGGTTTTAGTACAAACATTATTTCATTTACATATTAGAGGTATTTGTTTGCAAATTACCAGATGGTCGCTGGTGTGCTCACATCAAACCCATAGCTGTGAAGGATGGCAAGAAGGTCTGTGAGCCACTTCTCCACAGTAGCCTTAGCTCTTACCTGCGATTTATTTCACCTCTACCACCTTTTCACCTTTCACCATCAAAAAATCCTCAGAAGGTTCTATACATATGTCATGGTCGACTTATTCTCCCCTATTATTTCCCTTTTTATGAAAATACCAATAAGGAAGCAAAACACAAGTGCTGAAGGTGAAGGAAGTACCTGTGACCCGAAAGAAGACTTCCAATGGATGATGAATACAGTAAGTAGAGCTGAATTCGTAAAAATACCAATCAACGAAAACAAAAGTATGAGCACCGCCAGGAATGTCCTGAAAATACTTGATGAGTCTCTTGAGAGCGTATGAGTAACCGGTAAAGCACTGACAATAATATGGGTAATGGGATAATACAGGACCATGAGGTGGAGTGGCATAAACCGCGCGCTTTCAATCATTTACTTCGAATAACTTAATTGATTCCCAGCAAAATGAGTAGGGCCATAAGAGAAGGAAAAAAGTAGAAATGCATATGGAACCTGCAAAAGCTCTTATTCACTGAGACATCCCAGTTTATTCTGAAGGAGACTAGGGGAAAGTCACTGTCTACGGTATGAGGGTAGGGACTCGTGTACCCAGTTGATGTGGCAAAGGCCAAATGCCCCAGAAAAACAGCCTGTTCGAGAGCATTGGTGACTCAGGGAAAAGTAGTAAGCATTGAGACAACGCCGAAGGACGAAGGAAATCTCAACGATGGGTCTCTGGTGAGGGTTTCCCGTACAATCCTCGAAAACTTTACTCTAAGATTCCCTGTATAGGTAGCAATTTACCGAATAATCACGTGGGGGACTGAAAAGACATCTCAGGAGGACCGTCAGTACTCGAGTGGAAAACAAATCCTAGTCAGCTCACCTGGAGTCTTCGTTGACTTGTCCTGCTTTGGCTAGGCAGAATTCCAGCACATCGGCAGAAGAATTGTTCTGAAAACAATCGGAACCTTGAAAGAATAACATTCATCAGGGACTTCCCCGCGACCACCACGGCACTGACATATTTCAAGGACCATCTTCAAGATGTAGCGACTCACCATTCTGAAAGTTGAGTATCGCTCGATCGCTCGGCGCCCCTTTCCTAGTTAGAGCTCGTTCTAATAATCCGTTATAGTAGCACTTTGCGTTCAAGCGCCCACCTGAAAAAGGCTAATGGCATCACTGAAAGCCGAAATTTACCTTAATACGAACGTCTATGAGAGTGTGAATCGAGATCGCTTAGTATAAACGATTTGGAAACGAAGGAATCGAATGACAGTGGAGTATCGACTTGTGGGTATCCTGCTTATTACTGTGCGCTTTTTGGCTCTTTGCTGCTTAAGTTTGTGAACGGTTCGCTCTTTTGTTTGTTACTGTAGCGCATCTTAGAGTGTACATTGAATAAATAAATAATTCTCCAATACCGATCTGTTTTTTCTGTTTTTAAAAGGTGGGTAAAAAGAGTCAATGAATGAAGCGGCCTTATGATTTGGAGCAGAGCGTCTAGAGTTACTGAAAATCAGAGGGATCAAGTATGGTAAAGGATCACACGACAGACTTCAGACCGGAGCAGATCTGAACAACGAGGGGCAGAAAATCCGTTTCAGTAATGGGAAAAGTAAATAACATTCAGAAACTAGGGGTATGTGAGAGTGAGGGAAATGAGGAGGACACCCAGTTATTCAGGCTCATTACAGACCATCGAAACCTTTGGAATAGTTTTACGCATTTCATGAGGTAATAGTTTCCAATGGCTTACAGAAGACAATTACTGAACACAGGCTTGATCCAGTATTTGATCTCCGGATCATATGGTTCTTTTCGGAGATGAACCCTCTACTCAGGCACGGTTCATACCGCGGGCAGCTTCGGCTGCAGGGCGGCCCAGTTTGAATTCGTGAAGCATGATGACCCAAAACCGTGCTTATCCGTAGGACCTCTGGACCACGTAAATACGCTAATATCAATTTAGCACTAAAGAAGATCAAGTGAAGTTTATCATTCTCAGAGCCAAAGGGTGTATGTGTAATGCGACCGGCTGTATGGTCGTGCACTTGTAGGAAAGTACAAGGACCTAAAACCTGGCGAGAAATGTTGCGGCATGAAATCCACAGTTATATTTGCGTCGACCTACTAATAGCCTATGCAGGGGCAATTTACGGTGTGAGAAGATGAGAAGGTGAACGCAGTGCAGCAATTTCATTGAAAAAGGTCAATTGAAGGAAATTGATTCAACGTTCCTTGGCAACAAATTAATCATTAGTCTATAATGAGCTTGAGCTCATAGTGGGAAGGAAGAAGAGGTCATTTATAAATGTCATTTGCACATTCTGCGTTTGAAATTACTGTAATTGTTAATGGTCAAGTTCTTCGCTTCCTATACGGTAACGACATAACAATTCAAAGATTGCTGAAAGTAATGAGTGAGAAATGCCCTACAGTAACTGTGTCGAGCAGCTTTCTAAGACTGAAATCGAGGAGGAAGATAAGGAAAAAGTTACTGGGC